CCTCGGCTGACTAATTATGATTCTACCTATGTTGTTCTTGGCAAGCAGACAGCATTTGTTCAAGGGGGCTCCTGCCAGCTGTACTGTTGAAAGTGCTGTTCAATAAGATTCCAATTAAATGTTTTATTAATATTTATTGTTCACTGGTTGCAGTTGTCAGTAACATGCATTTGCCCAGGAGAGCTCGAATGAAATGCAGCAAGGTGTTACCTGCTGGGGAGGGGGAGAAAAACAATTCTCTAGTTGTTTGTGTTCCCTGCCTGGTATATAAATGCTGATACAGACACAGCATGTGGATGGTGAGGGTGCCCATTCAGTGAATCACACCTAAGACTGGTGTAGTGTAGCTGGCAGGCTCTGGTGGAAGAACAGCCACTGCATGTTTGTTCAGCAGTGAGAGGTGTGGGCAGTAGTGCTGGCATGGCTTTAGCTCTGTCAGTGTTTTACATGAAGCAGCTACTTCCAGGTGATTCTCAGAAACTGGAACCTGAGGACACATTGGGCAGTGTGTGCTCCTTTCAGTCCAGTACTACACCATGGCAAACTGCTGCCTCCTCTGACACTAATGAAAGAGCTCGATTTGGCTTGGCCTTTCAGTCATGTAATGAATCAAGTGTGAAACATGAGCAGTGAAATCCACCTGGAAGCCCTTTAAATTTGACACAAACTGGAGTTGAATGACTGACAACTTCTGCGGGACCCTTGATGGACACATGCAGTAGCACGATCACAAGCCCAGGTGGGTTTGAAGCATTTCCCAAATCAAAGTTTAAAATGAGCACAACCTCCTTCCCCCTGTCACAGCTGATTTTACCAGGCACAGTTTTCAAACATCTGAGCTGAGTAATTTCCGTCAGCCAAACTCCACTTTACACAATAGCACATTTTTAGTAAAGTGTGAGTTGTTCCTTTTTGTTAATATTTCTGCATAAAATCATTGTGGTCTTGCAGCAAACTCGCCTCTCTCCACTCTCAGGAGCGAGTGTGAGAGAAAGGCAAGACAGTTAAAGGCTTCCTAATGTGAAGTTTGTCAATCCAACTCTTTGAATTAAATGTCTGAAGTTTAGACGCCTCACTCTGGCCATCCTATCAGTCTTCAAGCATGTAGCATACACAGATACACACATTATATGTATGTCTTTACCAAACCCAAACTTCTGACCTCAAAGCCAGACCTTCTGATTTATACCAATTATGCCACTTCCACACATCAGGGTTTTTTGAACAGTCAACATATTTGTTGTGCATTTGTATTAATCTCTTTTAATGTACTATGGTTCTGTTATTATGCTGATGTCAGCTGAGAGTAATTCCTGGAGAGTTAAGTTAGGATGAAACTGTTGTAAAGATAAAAAGAATTATTGCGCTTCTCTTTAGGACTGATTTTTCCTTTGCATTTGAGCATTTATGAATGATTGTCAATTCTGAACAACATTTTTCTTCCCTGAGATTTAAGGGAAGAACTTAATGAGATGAATTGCTATCTGCAAGGTGTTCAGAGGTGTATTTTAAGGCAGAATAGGCTGACATTTAGTGAAAAACGAGTCAGCATTTCTTGGGTATGGTTCAGGCTTACCTCTTTTTTTGTATTAAACCTTGCTGTGCTTCACATTTTGTTTGTGAGCTCTTTTATAAATAAAATTCTTAGCTGGGAGTGTCGCTTCCTGTGCTCCCTGTTGATAATCAGACCATCTTGACACTGCACGTGAAACCAGCTCCACACTTGGTACACATTGATCTCTCTTTGCTTAGTCCCATTGACCTTAATTGATAGGGCTTATTTATGTGCATGAGGAGATTTTTCATATGATTGGTGTATTCAAAATACTGATATTCATTTACAGGAACAAATTTGACTAATAAACATTGATTGTATTTTTTGTGGATTTAAATAATTTTTAGAATGTTTGAGCACAGTTCTAATGATGTACTCTTTACAATTAAACAGATTTGTTTCATGTTTAGACTGAAATAAAAGTAGTGTTTGACTTAGCAGAGCTTGAAGAAGTGGTTCCATTTCAGACATTTAGGGTTCAATTCTTCTTGTGATAATTGAGGAGCCACTATGGTGTTACAAGTTTTGTTTGTTCACAGAAGCTGGCATGATAGAGGAAGTGAGTTGGTGATGGGTTATCTGAATCTGCTTATATCTGAATCTGCTTAAAACCCTTCTACATTTTTGTTCCAGGAAAATATTCTGGAACTGACTTGGGTCAGAGGGAAAATGAGACAATGTGCAAAGCCACTTGCCTGGCATGGAGATCATGTCCTGCCATGCTCAAGGGTTGGAAGAACCTCACCCAGCCAGGAAGGAGGCAGGCTTTCAATCACAAGAGGAGTTGCCTTTTGGGCAGGCTTTTACCAGATGCTTTTTAAAGTAGATTTACAACTCTTGTCATGCACCAGGGCATAGCATGTGTGTGTGCACTTGGCCTCTTGTCTTGACACAGCATCTGAGAGTGGCTGGAATAGAAATGAGAACATCATTTGCCGAGATGGCACATGTTTTCATTAAAATGTAATCTTGCACCTTATAATAGGATAGATAGCAGCTTCAGGATTGAGTCTTGTGTACAGTGGGTAGGCACAGTGAAAATTAATTTTTTTCCCATTATCTTGAATGTTAAACCCATCTGCTAGATACAGAGTGGTGCTAAACAGTGCTTGCTCCATTTTTCTGTGAGGAAACTAATTAAAAGATTATAGCCTCTGTGTTTAATAGTTGTTCAAAATATATTGGTGGCAATGCTTGCCAATTTGAATTTCATCATGTTGCAAGCAGCAAAGGGAGAGCATGCTGACACTTTGCTCTCTTTGGGATTCACTTCATCTCATTTGCTTTCTAATCTGATCTCCCAGGTTATCAAATGAGAGCTTCTGTTTGTTAATGAATGTCCAATGTTAAATGAAAGTGAAATGAAACCTGATATCCAGAAGTGATCAGCTTTACTTTCTATAAGGCTCTTCTGGCAATGTCCGAGAGAACTCATGTTTGATGTCCAAAGGAGAACTGACTTCCTGGGTTGTGTGCAAGAGTAACAGTTTTGGCATACTTCAGTGGCTGAGTTGACAAGTCATTGTTTCTGTCTGATACTTACAAATAAAGTCCTCTTCACAAGGGTGCTGAGAAACACTGTTTCCTGCATCCTGCGCTGTGCAGCTGGAGTGGGAGTTTCCACCCACAGCAAACTTTGGTTGATCTCTTTAAAACCAGCACTGTGGTATCTGGGATCCCATGTTTTCCTGTGCCACTGACTGAGACTTTGATTTGATCTGCAGCGTACTGCAGTTCTGTCAAAAATGTGCTCCGTCCAAAAAACATGAGAACTCAACTTTACCTGGCATCTTCAAAGAGTATTTTTTCTTTTAGTAATAATAGCTCAGCTGTGGTTCACAATTAGACGTGAAGGAGCGGGCTGCAGCTCTCAGACTACCATTCTGACTTTTAAGCTACAGTTTCCCTACATAGCTTTAAGCTCCTTTTCCCCTGCTAGGTGATGTTGCTGGAACAGGAAGGAGCTGAATGTGTGGAGCCCATTTGATCAGTCATTTTCACCAGTTTCAGACTGCTCAAGAAACTAGGTCCAAGACCTTCAAAACCCAGGTTGACCATATTGGGAATGGTGATCTACCACTGAGCATTTCTACAAGCATCTTATTCCATTAGCTGGATTTAGTTGCAGTTGCAATGAATGTTAACTGCAGCAGAGATTAAACTGTGTCTGTGAAGTATCACCATAAACTGATTTACTTTGTGTTGTCTTGTTAATTCCTCATCAGTGAAGACCAGCTCATGAGGCGTGTGTGTTGCATGTTGAGTGCTATTTATTTGGAGAAGCTGTGAATAAGAGAATTAATATTTCATCTTAAATCTCTAAGAGCAGGTATTTAATAACACATTGCAGCCTTGATAGCACACAAACCGTCTGACATGTACTGCACTTCTAGCAAATAATTGTAAGATGCAAGAAGTCCAGTACTTTAAAATTGTTCGTTTCTTGTTGAATTGTGTGACAGGTGAGAGTTGGGAGATATCCATTATTCTTTCAGTGCTGTGTTCTTCACTGATGTGATTAATTTTCCTTCCATTCAAATGAGTGTTCCTTAATTTTGTAGGATTTCACCTTTTTTCCTCTGCTTACATAGGAAAGTAACTTATTAGCATTAACAAATTGGGAACAAAGACTTTGGAAATGTGCTTTTGAAATGAAATGCTAATGAATGAATTTCCTTCTCTAATCTTGTAGGAAAAGGGGTCAGATTTTCAGAATTATTTCTGCTTTATCTGGCACTTACAGGAAGAAAGAAATGAGTGTTGTCCAGCAATTCTACCAGCCACACTTACATAACTATATGTGGGGTGGTTAAGGACCTAACATAACTGAACTGTGAATCATACCTGTGACTTCGTGTATTAGGTATGATCTTTTCCTTAATGGAATTAAATTATATCTTTATTTTTGCATTTTTTACTGCTTGATAAAAAAATCACAAACTGCCCCTTGCTGCCCCTTTGGGCATAGCCCTGAGCTTCAGTTGCTACTTTTGAAGATCACTTTAGAAATGCTCTTTGTAATGTTAGTCCCATCCTTCTGGGAGCTTTTAATCTCCTCTGAAAACAAGAGGGCTGTCTTCGGGTAAATGGAAAGCAACTGGTTGCAAACCTGTAGTGGATTTTGTTCAGAAGTAATAGTTTTATATCTTGATCCGCTTGCCATGACACATGCACTTTCCTAACTGAGAGCAATTTTATTGATAATAAAGGCATCATCAAAGCAAAATTGACAATATTTTAAGAACCGATTACAACTGATGCCAGTAAAAGTAGGAGTTAAATTAGATTCAGAAGAGAGGTTACAAATAATGAGCCATTGATTCTGAATTCTTTACTTTTATTTTTTTGGTCCAGCTCTGTGTTCACTTGAGATGATTCATTCTTCCAGTGAGTTCCTTCCAGGAAGGGTTCCCCACAATCCTCACAATTTTGCTTTTCCTCTGTACTAAAGTTCTTCTTTCTCCGTTATTACAGTTTCTTTTTGGCTGAGGTCCTCTTTGATTCCTCCCAAAGGATCCTTTTAGAAAAGGAAATGCAAGAGCTAAGCTGCTTATTACAAAAAGAATTGCTCTAATAATTGTTTGCTTCCCCCCACCCTCCCCTCAAAAAAAAAGATTATGTGAAATGTAGATTTTCATCTATCCAACCAAGGAAATCGAAGGCTTGTTAATGAGGTCAGAAGTAGTGCAGCTGTTGCTGAAATGTGTTAATGTGTTAAACTGACCTTTTAACTTATTCTTTAATGTGAAATAAAGCATGAAGAAGAGATGGCGGAATATACACAGCTTGGACATTATACGTAAAAGGCTGTGTGTAGGACTTCAAACACATCACTAAAGAATGCGCAGCAGGGGCAGACACCGCATGTAGACTTTGAGTACTGGAAAACAGAATTGTGCTATGACTGGGCAGAGCTCACTGTCTCATCCTTCACTGCAGATTTAGGTGTCCCAACATTAGTTTTGTCATTTCTATCCATTTGTAACCACCTATTTGAGCAGTGAATTCGGGAGCAAATCAAAGCCTCTGGTGGAAGTAAGTTTGCAAACTAAAACCTGTTTCCCTGCTAGCTGAAAAGAGCATTAGTGGTAATTTTTGCTACCCTGTGGATCTACTTCACTTCCAGGCAGAATGGGCCCATGCTTATGCTGGATGGACAGTGTCTCCATGTGCGTATCAGTTTTTTCTGTTGCTTGCAGCTGTCTACGTGGAGATTGATCATGTTGATCACATAAAGTGTGTCTTTTTGCAGTGAAGCATCTGGGATTGGGGGACATCCCAGGGTGATCTGGGGCAGTTAATGCTTATCTGTTCTGATTTACAGTGGAGGAGAAGAGGCTGAGGAACTGGACAATAATCATAACCAGATTGCCAAGAGAGGGGACAGTATCTGTTCTCCGCTGTGCCCTTGCTTTATGAAAAGAAGCTGTGCTGAATGCAGCAGGATGAGGTAGGCAGTGGATATTTGAACCACTCCAGCTATAGCTAAAACTAACTTAAGTGGGGCTTCTTTTTACAGCTAAAATCCTGATGAAGTTTTGCTTACACCTGTCAAGGTGCAGATTCCTTTCTGCCATGCAGTACTTACTATCAGAGTGTTAATGTAGTTATTCAGTGATGACATGAGAGTGGGAGAAGAGGTTTTTGTGTGGTGAAAACAAGGATGTGAGGGGGTGCATGCCTGCCAGGCAGTGATACATGACTGCAGCTAGTGTGGTCATGCCAAGCTAGTCAGCTTGGAACCAGCTAAGAGCTGGTAAGAACCACCCAAGCATTGACAGGAGCAGTGGCTGAAGCCCATACATATGGCTATGCTATAGGCAGTTCAGCTATGCCTGTACAATGCGTGAATGTGCCTTGGATTACACAGCAGATCAGTGAGTGTCTGGATCAAATGCCTTACCTTCTCTTCTGCTTCTGCTTTTGTCTTGCTTTGTTCTTCTAAGAATTCAGAAAATGCCTCCAAGGTGTGCTCCCCAGCATAGGCCACCTCCTGAAAGAGTTTTAAGGTTAAGTATTAACTCAGTACACAAAATGCTGGAAATAATGCCATAATCAGATGCAGAATTTCGGTTCTTTAGACTGACCAAACTCTAGACTTTTGTGCTTCGTTTAGAAAGCGAGGGCAGAGGCACGCAGCAGGTTCCAATGTCATCTGAAACTCAAGTGTGAAGAAGAAATAGATGTAAGTCCCTCAGAAGAAAAGAATTTGTATCAAAACCATAACCATTATTGTGTAGTACCAATACCAGACACCAGTGTCTTTTTGTGTTTAACAGTAAGCATTTGCAATATACTTTGAAGAGCAGAGTCTTTTAACTGTCCAGCCATGATATTCAGTGCTGGCTAAAGATTTTAATGGAAATAGAGTTTCTGAAAAAACTTTGAAATATACAATCCAGAAGCACCAGCTGTTGCACAGCTTGAAAGAACAAGAAGATGATGAGCAGTGATATTCATTTTCTTATACTTCATGTTATGTTGGGGGTTTACTAAGGATTTTCTTCTGAGAAAATTTAATGGAAGAAGCACTTTCAGTTTAGAGCTTTAAATTTTCTCAGTAGGTCTAAATACCATATTGTATTTTAAAGATCCACCATTCTACCCCCCAAATACCTTTGCTCTCTGGAAGTATGAAAGGATCTTGCACAAGCCTACTAACAAAGAGTTGTAGAAGCTCGTGTGTATTACACTGGGAATTGTCTGCTGTTACCTGAGTGTATCTAGAAATAGGCAGACACCTCTTCTCACTTATGTTAAGCTCGCTTACTCCCACTGAGACCAGTAATGCTGTGCTACTTCACGCTAGTTACTCTTATTCTTGAGAGTTCAAAGGACTGTTAACAAAACACCTCCATTCTCTGTTAAATTCACTAGAAGTATACACAGGTTTGATGGTTCCATTCAGTAAGGTGTTCTCTTGTAATAAGAAGTGTGGTGGCCTTGAAGTTACATTTTTATGTTTGCAAGCTTAAGTTTCTTGAGAAAGATTATTTGATTCTTCCAGAGGCGGTTAATATTCTCAGATGAGCCTTGATTTTTATTGACTCTCATGATGGCTGGAACAGCAATCTCTCAAAGCCCGATGTCCTATAAAGCCAGAGAAGCAGCTGATCCCTGCACTGGTTACTGAGGGTTTGTGTCAACACTTTTTATTAGAGTAATTGTGCGTAAGAGTATGTAAATGTTATTTTTCTCACTTAATCCATAGAAACAAATGGAATCATCTTAAATCAGTCTACATGTTTTTTTCTTAAATTTGGAGTGGATGATGCAGTGGAGGAGTTGTTCATCAGCTTCACAGGTGGAGCTTAGATGATGCCTGGTCACTCCTCCATGTAATTCACTAGATTCACTCTCTTGTTCCTTCAGCTGTGGCTATAACTGTTCCCCAGCACAGAAACGCTCAGTGCTCTGGAAAACTGGGCACATGCTTAAATGCCCAACTATAGATCTAGGTGTCTTAGTTTATGCAACTCCATTGAACTCCAGTTAACCTGGAGTGGCTCCTGATTTAAAAATGTTGTTGTGCATCTAGTTTTGCATCCACTGAAATTGAGAGAGTGACTTGTCATTAACTTCAGGAAAAGTTGAGCCTATTCTTATACAGGCTTAAGAGTGACAGTGCACAGATAGTTTATAGCCTGGAGACCTAGCAGATACTTCTGGTCAAAGGATGGTATCAAAGACAATCTCATCAGGTGAGAGGGCTTGGAGGGCACTGTGTAATAATGTGTTCTGCACATGGCTTTGCCTTTAAGGAGGTGTAAGAGCGTCTCTGGTGGCCAGAGAACTTAACCCAGTTCTAGAAAACAGCTTTAGGTCACGTTAGCCACATTTCCCTTGGTTTACCAGGAGCAGGTTCAGACTTCTTTGTGTGCATTTTTATGTGCTTTGTATAGTCTCTTTAACACAGGATAATGCCCAGCAACCCAGGATACTACATTTGTATCCTGAGCTCCAACTTTGGTTACCTTCCAGAAAAGAGTAAGTATATGTTGGAGAATTCCCAGTGTAACTGCAGGTTGAGTGGGATATGACTGCTGCATTGACTGTGTGTTAATAGCTTCAGTGTGTCTCAGATCATTTATGATTGCCTGTAGTGAGTAAAGATGTCTGTCTGTGGCCAGCTGTTCATATAGTGCCATAAGAAGGAAGGCTGGAGTCAGACATTTCTGCACTGGTAGACATGCTCAAGTTAAAATCCCTGAACTTGAGGGAACTGGTATAAAAACCATGGTCACAAGGAATAACATGAGATTTCAAATGCTCTTTAATTTTGGGATATTTGTGTATATAAAACAACTCCTTAATAGTTAGTGAAAATTGTTACTGATATTTCCTGACAAACTGACATTTATTATGAGCATTTAATGCGTTCCTGCTTTCCTGCATAAAGACTAAACATGGTGTGAGTGTGCAGGACTGCAGTTCAACTCATTAGGAGCTGTGCATGCACATCTGAGAGGAAAATCTCTCCCTCAAAGATCAAATGAGGACACGGGCAAATGTCTTAGAATTTAATTTAAGTTTTGGACTAAGAAGAAAAATGAAAAGTTTAGTAATGTCTTAATTATAACAGTGTCTTAGCATTTAATTATTCTTTTTTGCTTCAAAGATATTTTCTTTTTAATTAGATTATGTAGATGGAGGAATGTAACTATTTAGTATTTTTCTTTGCCTCTTTCTGCAGTGTTTTCTGATTACTGTGTAACATAGCTGGTGCGTTATGTAGCATATTGTAAAGATCGTTGGTCTTGACAACAAATATTTATTCCCAATTGAGGCTGTGGTGCTGGAATGAAGGAAGATTACTGGCATAAGTGTGTAGAAGCAAGTTTGGGATTTGGGTTCTGTGAAAATGTAGAGGATATTAGAAGAGTAGCACCAGCATTTTAGAGGCTATAGTCATACCTGCTCCAGAAATAACTGTGGCAGGGTAGTTCCGTGACAATACATCTCTAGTCATGGTTTGAAGTAGGCGGGCACTGCAGTGATTAGGGGATATCTGTAAATTCACTCTAAGTTGAGAATGTTGCTCGAACCCAAAAGACAGATTGAAGGTTGTTCTACAGCAGAATGTAAAGCTGTAATGACTTGTAGGTCCGAGTCAGTACATGATACATGGGCTCTTGCCACAGCCTCATATATAGGAAAAGACAACAGAAGGGTTTCTCTAAATCACGTATGTGACAGCAATGAATCCAGTGTTGAGTAGATAAGGACCAAAGATTTCTTGCTTAAAGGACTCGCCATTACAGGCACATGCAAACACACACACATGCATCCCTCCCCAGTGTGCAGCTGTGTCTGCGCATTCTTCCCCAACAACTTCTCACCTGGTAGCCTGGTCCAGCTGGAAAGAGTCTGAAGAATGGATAGCGAGCTAATCCAATGGACAGGATGTCATTTGCTGTGATGTCTGTCTTTGCAATGATTATATCAGTGCGACATTCATATCGCTTTCCTAATTCATCCCAGATTGGCAGGAGTTTTTTGCAGTCATAGGACCAAGGGGCATCTGCAAAATTAAAAATAAAAGTAGAAGGATAGAGTCTGGCAGAGAGCATGTGCTGGTGTGGTCACTGGGATACATTTAGCCCTTAAAATTAACAGGGGTTTGGATTTTAGTTGTGGTCAGTCTCTACTTGAAATCATTCACTCTTCATGAGCTTCATGAGTTTCCATTTAGTGATTACTACCTATTCACTAGTGCATTTCTGACAGCAGTGCTGCCGTAGCTCTCTTTAGTTTTTTATGACTATAACAAAGACACAACCCTTGTCATATGACTTTGCTGGAGGGATGTGCCGGATGACCAATGCAACCCAAGTAAGTCCTGCATCATTCCCATGGTGAAATGCTTGCCAGAAGCACAAAATGCTTTCTGCATGCTAAAATTAACCATAGAATCATAGAATCATAGAATAGTTAGGGTTGGAAAGGACCTTAAGATCATCTAGTTCCATCCCCCCTGCCATGTTAATAAACTATACTAGATTTACTTTAAAAGGAAGAGTTTGAGCTATGGTTGTGTTTTGACTCTGAGCACTGTATGCATGCTGGATAGCAAAAAGGCAGACTGCTGAGAAACTAGTACCCCCTTAAACAGCATACAACATGTTCACAATCCTTCAGTCATGAGAATAGTGCTCATACTCAGTTTGGATAGAATTAAAATATCTGGGGTACTTTCCTGAATACACTACATCCTATTTATCAGCCTTTCATTTCCAGCAGACTTGGTTCAGTTCTTGCCTAGATCAGTCAATTCATGATACTGCAATGTAAAAATGACTTGCATGAATGACATGGCTGCAGCCAACAAGGAGGACTGCAGGAACATACTACCTTTAAGAACTTCTAGAATTCCAGGTAATACAGCTACTTGTTGATGTCAATGCTGTATGTTTGCTCTACTGAAGTAGTTAAGGCACAAACTAATCCCTGCTGACTGGTACAGGGATAGGGCATTGTTTTTTTGCTGGGAAGAGGCAAGCAGGAAAGCCACTTCCCTTGCAGAAAGAGGAGCAAAAAGGCATTACAATATGCGAAACAGTTACTCCTCTCTGGAATTTAATCCTAGACGATGATAACCTGACAATCTCGTTTAGCTCTCCCTCTGTCTTTGGAAGACAGACTGACTCATGCTGTACAGAACGCTGTAATGTTCTGTTGTACAACATGATGCTCTAGTGTCATTTTGTCTTTCAACACTGACATTTGATATGGCCTTGACAAATATTTATTTAGGGATCTAGTGTTATTCAGTACAGCCCTAAGTCAGCAAAGGTATCACAGTGTTTCCATAGATATGACACGTTTTTCTTCGATGCTTTCATCAGACAATAAAAATTCATTAAGCTCAGCTCCTGTAAAGTGTGAAGATGAGTTTAGTATGTAAGCATGAGCTTTTGTTTTTCACTTCTGATTGATCAAGTTAAAGCAACTTAAAACCTGAATGCAACAATAACACTTACAAAACATAACAAACACAGTTCTGGTCTTATCAAAGACAATCCTGTTGAAATTCTTCCCAACAAGCACTTTGACAGGCATCTTGTCCCAGTCCTCTGGAATTTCTTCACTGGAGAGGTGTAGCTAAGCAGAAACAGAAACACTTCTGTGAAAGAACAAGGAGCATTGAGGAACTGTACTCTAGCTCAAGTTACTGTGAGACCAGTGGGACATGTCTCTACCTGATGTGCACTATTACTGCGTGTGGTTTTTTTATATATTTATAGCCAGCCTTCATGTGCTACTGCCTTCTCTCCCTTCACCCCTGCGTAATTGGAGTCGGAATTACTCGTCTCTCTCTTGAATACAGACTCCATAGTACACAGTCTGAAAATGACCCTTTGGAACACGTTTGCATGCATTGTACTGAATTCTTTTTGCCCAGTGTTCAGAAGCTAGGCTACTGAAAAGCTTACCTGTGGTTGGCTTTCAAAAGTGACGTAAAATACACAAGACAGTGTGCATTACTGCTTCAATCTGTGCCTTCACCACCAATGACAGTCCTCACAGAACTCCTACAATTTACAGTATATTAGCTGGCAATTTCCTTTCCTTTACACCCCAGCGCAGTAGTAGAAAGGCACACATTCTCCATGGAAGCTCTTCCCTGGTGGGAGTGTGTCACTCAAGTATATCTTGGTGGAAAAAGAGGTGACATCCCCACCTCTTCTGTCCTTCTGCCCCCCTCCAACATTAAAATCAGGAGCTGCTACTCTAATCTCTTAAATTCTGCCTGCTGTCAGATGGACTACATCATCTTTTCTCCTCATGATGGAAACAAAAGTAAATCACCCTGAAGAGCACTGAATAAACAAAACATTTTAATGTATTTTTCCTGTGAATGTGGAGGATGATGCCTCATTATGATAACAAATACTGCATTTACCATTGGGAATGATTCTCCTGGTGCAAATTCACTCTGAGTTTGCTTACAACGAATACCAAATCTTACTCCACTCTGAAACTCAATTTTCTATTTACTGAACTTCTCAAAATCCTCAAAATCTGTTGCAGTCATTGTTTGCATCTCTCCCAACTAAGGGAATTTAATAGCTCTATTATAGTATTGGCAAGATCAAGACAGAGGGAGTTTGAGTTTTTAAACCACTAAAATACATCAGCTGAAATCAACTAAAATATTGTACCGTAGATGATTTATCCAGTTTTTACATAGGAGGACTGGAGAAATTTGTAGTCCGCATAAGTACTTAAATACAGAAGAAAGCTCTCTCAGCAGCTGTAGATGAATGCTTTAGAAGGAGAGTAAATTACTAATTCTGATGATCAGAACAGCACGTTGCTCTCATTAAAAAAGGATGTTTTGCAAATTTGTCAGTGTTTTAGCTGGGGTAGTAAAGAGACATCTTATTAGTAATGGACATACCTTTGCTTTTCCATTTAGGTAGCTCTGGCAGAATTCTTTCAGGTTCTCCAAAGTCACCTCGTCTGCAGGCATTTTGTACATTGCCTCACTTGTTAGATTTAGGATTCTCACAGCAGGAACGTCAACCTCCCTGATGCGAAAGTACTCAAAAACTCGTCCGTTCCTTGGTTCATTAGTATCCACCAAGACAAACATTATCTGATAAGAGAGTCATGCATCTGGTTGAGTCTTCCAGCTTTGGTTTAGCCATTTTAGAGAAATGGCCTATGGAGCTTGGCAGTGGGTTAGGATCTAACATTAAATGCAAGGAATGGTGTAGAACCGTGGTTTGGTCTCAGTTTAACAAGCAGCAGTTCTGTGGACTTCATCATACCTTGATCCTAGTTAATAACAAGTGCTAAAGCAGCCAAAAGGAATGAAGCTTTTCCCTCTGTCATTTGTAGTGGTTTGCTGTCACCTATTCTAGTAACACTTCTACATTATCCCTCAAAACTTTTATTGCTCTGTCTACTAAATCTTAACAGGACAAAAGAGCTAAATCACCTGTAATCCAATGTCTTTACCAATGTGATGGTGGCAGAAATTGTCAGAACCTTGCTAAAACTATCTTTGATTGGAAGTTGCTCCTACAAAGTCATATTTGCAAAATCAGAAACAAGTTTATTGGGAGCAGCTGGAATTAAGTATTGGTTTGAGTGATTGTTGCATTTTAAAGAATAATTTTCAAATGAAGGCTCTTTTTCAGCTTGTCACCCTAACAAACTTAAGGAATAGTTGCTGATACTGTTTTGAAATGATTTGGTAGACTTAAAAGATGGACTGACAGCAGTATACTTTTACCAGTAACATTGGTGAGTATTTTTCCATTGATCTTTTGGCATTAATGTTTGCAAAGCAGGAATTCAGCATTACAAACCTTCCCTCTAAATTCTGCAGCAGCAGACTTGTAGTTTTCAGAAATCTCGCTAACCGTCTCTGAGTTCGTTGGGGTGAACAGCAGGATGTGATTTTCAACCGGGACATCAAAAATCTTCACAGATGTCTGGGAAACAAAAGAATCAACATCTGTTCCACTCTTTGTAAGCAGAACAGTGAATCAGAGGCTCAGCGTATCAGTATCATTTAGTCATGCTATTGCAAATTTTGCTTTTAAGGACTCAGTTCCCAATCATTTCCATAACTGTTGGATTTTCATTGTTTTAAAGAAGATGAAGTGAGAAAAATCAGCAGCTGCTGAGTGTTTTATCTGTTCCAGGGAAAACCTCATTTTTATTCATAGATTTTTACAGTCAGAAGGGACTGTGGTGATCTGCCAGTCTGACCTCCTGTGTGACACACACTGAAGAATGAAGGCTAAAGATGTGCTGGAAGTAAAAGGCAGTGTTACCCAGGAAGGCCCAGCTGCAACAGCTGCAGGAGCTGGACCTGATTGGGGTACTTCCTTCATTTCTGGGTGGCATCAGCAGCTTACATCTCCTTCCCTGCACAGAGCTGCCCTTTCTCTCTTGCCATCCCACCATGATCATAGGCAGTGGGATGTCTCCCAGGCAAGCAGGTATTACCATGATTTCCATGTCTTTCCCTTCCTGTCTGCACTTTCAACAATTATTGCTGGCTTCTTTCTTCCTCGTCTTGGCCAAGAGGACCTGTTTGCTACATGGGAGTGGAAGAGTTGAAGACCTTCCAACCTCCAGCCCGATGTAGTTACTGCAGAAGCAGCTCAGGCCTTTGTTTTGGCTCCACAGGAGGGAGGTGTTTGTGTACTCAGGCAATTTTGCTGTTTGGCCAGCCATTCCTCTTCTGTTCTAAGAAGCAACGTCTTGCCAGAGGGAAGCATCCTTTGGCATGGATTAGACCAAGACCTGCCTGTTGGGTTCCACTGGTGTTTCTAGGTGTGTTTAGGGCTAGTCTAGTCAAACAAGCAAATGAAAGTCTCAAACACTAAGGAGCGGAATAGCTCCTGAAGTCTTTTTCTGCATGGGTTCTTGTCTTCCCTGTCTTTCTCCTGTGGATTTTGTTAATACAATGAAACACACATACCTCAAGATTATATTCAGTGACCAAATCCAAGGTAAAGGTTTTGATTAGCCTTGTTAGATCCAGTTTGTTCTGTCTGCCATCTTCCAGCACTTCATTATGCACAGGTTTTCCCTTGGACAAACAGTAAAGTTTGTGAGGTTGTTGCCCTTACCAACTACATCAGCAAAGAGGCTGTCTTTACTCTAAAATGTTGTTCTCAGCTTTGCTATTTTATGATCCTCAGTAACTGAAATTCCATAACTTGTAAAAAGAACGTCACTGCTAGATTACAGAACAAGATTATAACTAAAATTCAAGGTACAGCTGACAGTTTTAATTTGCTTGGTAATCTTAACATACTCAAAGATCTTTTCTCTGTACATGCTGTGACATACACTCACTCTGGACATCCGAGGTCTGACTAATTCATAGCCTAAATGTTGGTGCTGCTTCTGTGTAGTTTTATTCTTGTTGTTGGACACTTCTGTTGTGGATTGAAAGAAAAGATTCCTGGCCAAAATAAACACAAAGGAAAAGAGGTGAATGTCTGCAAAACTCACTGAACCTGTTGGTTAGAAAGTGGATTGTAAAATAAAGGTATTTTATCAAGATGCCTAAGTATAAATTAAGAGCCTGAATATAGGCAACCCTACTGAAGATATCAGTTGTCCAAAGGTTGCTGTTTGCTTCTGTGTGTCTCTCTTGTCTGTACATGTGATATTTTTTGTGATAAGCTGTTTGAATTTCAACTAGGAAATTATTTAACCTGAAAAATTCCCAAACTGCCTTGCCATAGCCTAAAGCTGCTGTGACAGCTACTGCACCTTGCCTCCTAGGCTTTTGTACTCCTACCTTCTTAAACACAACAAGGGTGTTCTTTTGGATGCTGTAGTTAGCCCAGACGTCCTCACTGGCTGTCATCCCGAAAGGCATCTCTGGCACATCTCTTGCCGTCTCGCAGAAAACTTCCACACTGTCACTGTGAAGTTCCTAGTCCCAGAAAGAGTATGTATTAAGGCTGTCCCCTGCATCCTGCTAGGATGTGTAGAAGTGAGAGCTACTAGCAAGGCAGGCTGCTAAAGGCTTGTTAGCTAGAGAGGAGAGTGTAATTGTAAAGTGGGTATAGCTTGCCATGATTACCTCTAAGGGGAGATCTTTACAACAGGGGAGATCCTAGGAGTGCTATGGCACTGGTAGTGCCTTCACCTTTCCAGCAAGTGCTGGCTGGCTTGGGTCAATATAGATGTGTAGGGTTCCCTGTGTCCTTCTTGCACTCACCTCATCTGCCCAGCACTCCCCTGGCGTTTCCATGCTCTGCAAAGACTTCTGCAGATGGGGAAGGATCATGCCAACAGCAGCTCCCCTGCTGCAGCCCATCTGTACAACCGGCAGGATGTGATGGATTAGAGAGGAGGGCTCTCTGCTTGCAAAAGAACCTGACTGATGTGTTTGGTGCTTTGACTGAGTGCTCTTCAAGGCAGGGACCTTGACTCCTACATCTGTCAAATAGTCACTGTGCTGTCCACCCTCACACTAATAGTAAATAAGCACGATGAAAGGCAACAGTGCTTCCAGATCTGATTTAATCAGACAATTATTTCATGCTAGATGTATAGTAATTTATATGCTGAGTTCTCCCAGCACATCCTGGCACTCACATTTGTGAGCAATCTGTGACTAATAGAAGGCCAAATACAGCTCTTTATTTACTTGGATGCTATTTTGTTGGCTTCCACCCATTAAATTTCTGACATGCCCTAACTCATGCTCATCTATTGTCATTTCAGCCTCAGAGTGAAATCATGAAGTCAAACACATCTGCAGACAGTAACTGTTATCAGCGTGGTTCAGGGAGCTATCCAGCATCACTGCAATAGCAAGGGCTTCTCAGTCTGGACCAGCGCTGGTAAACTGCCTTCCTTTATAAATGGCTGCAAGCAGATTGCTGCAAAGCAAAATTCTGGGGAGTCTGAGCATTTTCACAGTTTGTCCTACTATGCTGCACGTGTTCACTAGCTCTGTTACTAGGGGGAATTTTGGTAATGAATCCTGTTTTCCACATCCCTAAGACTTGGACTGTCCACTGTAACCCCAGCACACTTGGGACCTTATCAGCTGAGGTGTAAGTCCAGACACTGTGCTTTTAACTAGGCAGAGAGATACTACAATAAAAGTCTCTTTAGTTATAGAAAATCCTTGATTGAATGTTTCAGATAAAGATTTCAAGGACAAGTTGAAAAGCAGGAAAAAAAAAATCCTATTTTACCCTCTTCTGACTTCCTGCCTTGACAGCTAAAATTTATTTTGCACTACTTGACTGTTGTTCTGTATCATTCAGCCCCAAATCTTAAAAACCTTATTCTGCTCTGGAAATTAGTAGCAATTTGCTTGAGAAAGGACTATATGAGTTGGGTCATACACAGTAAAATATTTTATGACTTCCTATCTATGCAGATTTCCTAGCTGGCAGGAGCTAAAACGCACAGTTAGCCTGATATTTATGGAGCTGTCTCTGCCCCCCTGAGTTTTCCTGAAGCTGTTTAAATCATCATATGGGAAGAGGAAGAGAAGGTACTCCAGTATGTTAGACAATATTTACTGCTTTTTTTTTTATGGACTTTAGCAGGAAGGGGACATTCCTTCACCAGAACAAGCTACAGCTGTTCATGCCTGTGATTTTACACTGGGTTTGAATAGAAATGCAGTGATAGGTAACCCTAGATTTCTAGTTCAGTTACAACTCTGGGCAGGGATTACAACTTTATGCAATTTTTGGAGGCTCCAGTAGTAGCATGACCCACACCAACAATGGGTTGAGTCTCTCCAAAGAAAAGGTTGAAGTTAAGTAAGGATAGGTAGATCAATAGTTCTGCCCTCTTCCCCCCAGCCACCAAATTTGCGATGGTTTGGCAGAAGCCCTTTCTCTGAGGATATAGGAAAGTCTGCTCTGTCCAGAGCTGTACAAACACTGCTGTCACATTATCTTCTCAGAAGCTGGTCTCTGTTAGGTGCCTGAGAAAAGTGCTGTGGTGCAAGATGGTCTTATCTCTGCCTGTGCTGCTTGTTTAGAAGTGTGAAAAAGATAAAAACAAATAGAAAATGCAGAGAAAACGGAGGGCCTGGAGGTTTCAGGCAAGTGCTGGGACTTTTGGATGTGTTGGGATTTGGTGATGATAGCAAGCAGTATATCCCAAAGTTGAAACAACAACCAGCCTTTTGAATCTCCTAGTGAATTACCTTAAAAAAGCCAATCACTGCCAAATCATCAGCATTTATGATGGTTTCAGCCTGGTCAGTAGAGTTGATTAAAACAGCGCTAGGTCCTGTTCTTCTTTTCACCCATGTAATAAAGGCTGAGGCTTGTCTGACTCCTGTGGAAGGTAAAGATTGTTGAAATAACCGTCAAAATGAATGACAAAAAATTCTGTACAATCAGCGTAGAGGTAGTGAGGGTGCAGAAGGAAGCTGAATACAAATGGACTTGGGCTTCTTAGGACTGGGGTCAAAACTGATTCAAGGTGGGCCTGGGGCATCACAATTCAAGCTGAAGTTCTAGTCATTGTTTAAACTATTGCTGACTGTAGAAGATCAATGGTAGATCAGTGCAGTGTTTTCTGGGACCTCTGTAAATGGTCATATGTCCAATTAGCTGCTTAATCACATATGGAGAATAGAGATGAGGATATTTAGACAAGTAGAGAACCTGTTCAGCAAGATTTCCTGTGTCCCAAAATTACAGTCAGCTATAAAGAGCTATTGACCTGAGGTTTAATCCAAAATTACTTCAAACCAATTGCAGATTTTATTGAACTGTCTCTTCAATTAAATTAGGTGTCAAAATTGTTCCTTTGGTGCTGCAGAAGGGATCTGATAGGCTCAGAGATTCCTCTGGGGTGCTGCAGCTTCGCTGTTCAGTTTAGACACAAGAAACAAAGCTGAGGTGTCAAAGTCATCCTATAATTCTGGATTGTTCCAAATTACTGCTATCAGAGATGACAGTCTGTTTATTTGGTAAATTCTCTTCAATCTTTCAGAAGTTTTAGAGATCTTGAGTTTCTTTTAAAGTTTGTAGCTATCATGTTTTCAGAGGAATTGGAGCCATAAATTTAGTCTCAGGAGATTAAAATCTCACCTGTAAAGTAGCCCTTTCATTTCTGTGAGTATGATATCCTTGTTGGACCAGAGCTGAGTCCAGAAAAGGGTTAATGGAAGTTATATACAAGAAAAAGGAAAAGTCTGTATGCTGTGAAGTGCTAGAGTCAAGATGTACAGTACAAGTGGATTATCAAAGATGCAAGTCCTGGTACTGTGCATTTTAGCAATATGACAAGATCAAAATTGAGTCAGACCATTTTACTGCCATCAAGTCATTTTGCAGCAGACTGCACTGCAACTAGTTTAAAATGCTATTTTTTTTAAGGTGAAGCGGTCAGGCATCTGCTCTGGGGTGAATAGGCTGCAGAGCAAAGCATACAGCAGTATCTAGTGGCCACATAGTGCTTGACTTCTGCTATCTAAATGCAGGTCTTACAGCTTATGTCAGTGGTACAGCCCCACAGCATATTTTTCATGTGATCAATCTTTCTATTGAGTTGCTTTAAACAGCCTGTGTAGCTAGTTTCTACTAGCCAAATTCTGGCTTTGGACTTGTAAATGATGATTTTACAAAGCCTAGGGTTTGGCTCTCACACTGTGTCCATTGCAGGACAAACATTTATAAACTCCCTCTGCCATGAACTATTTGAGTTAATTTCTTGAAGTTTCTTCTGTGGTATGAAGCATATAGCATACTCTGTGTGATAAGTCATTGGGCAGTCACTGCACATTTTCAGTTACCAATTATCAGTGGTTTAAAAGTCATATGCCATAGGTCAGATTTTACTAGTTGTTGTACATAAGCATTTACCAGTCAACAAAGTGTAATTTCAGTCATTATTGGTGGTATATGTGCTCTGAATGGTTGATGCTGTCTTGTACAAATCACAGAGCAGAAGCCAGTTTCCTAACATCCTGCTAGTGTGTCTTAAATAGCAGCTCTCTGCTGAAGGGTGACTGTGATACTCTGTGTTCGCTGGTTCTCACAAGCGTACCTGTCAAATTGGTTTACTGGTTTAAAAGAAGTTTTCTTGTCAATGCCATAGATACAATCAAAGACTGAAGGTAGGTGCTTTTGCTCTCATGTAGCAGCACCTCTAATAAAAGTTTAGTGTGGCAAATCACGCTTTCAGTGGCATTTGTGCAGAAGCTGCTGTTTGCACAAGTCTAGATGGTGGGAACTTGGTAAGAAATTCAATAGCAATGAGGAGCAAGTTACTAAAAATACTGAAGATCAGCTTTCAGCAGCAGCAGCCACAGGGGGCTCAGCAGTTAAAGAAATCAGAGCACTTGGTTGTGTACAGGCTCAGGAGACAAACTCAAGGTTCCTTTTTTTGTTGGTTATATTAAACCCGTGACACAATTGTATCTGCTCAGAGCACAGTAACAGATGCTTGGCCAAGTCCTACCATTTTATCAACTCTGAAAAAATTCATTAATTTAGGGAAAAATAAAAAAAAATCTTTCTTGTTTATACTTTCAGTGAAAGAAAAACTCTTCATAAGGCCTGGATTTCCCAGGATTGTTCAGTCCTGTTGTCTTTGCTTAATAACTTTTTGTAAAAGGCTTCAAATAATTCCATGGGTTTCCTGAGCCACATATGAGCTCCCTCTGATGGCTAAATTGCAAAATTATTTTCCTTGGCTTAGGAAGTATACGTAGGAAGTATATTAATTTAGGAAGTATATCTAGGAACCTGGGAAGTGTATTAAGGAACTTAGTGAATTCATGATTCATTGTCATATGCACAGAGTATTGCTCCAGCCTATTGCCATAGGCACGCTACCAGTGAACTAGAAGAAGTGCAAATGGAGCAGGTTTGGGACCAAATTGTTGATTGGCATAACTCATTTATTTTTGTTTGTTGTGTAGATGGGAGTAAGTCATCTTGCTGTGGAGATTCTCCATACTTGGTGGAATTACACCAGCAGTTAATTTGACTGTGTGAAGTAAACATTGCAAAGCATGTTCAGCTATACACCAGGAAGATTTAAATCAAAGTTGTTGCATTGGTACAGAGGTGATTGTATATTTTAAATCATGGGCAAAACCAGTTCTTTACCTTGCATATTCTTTATCTGAGTATCTGTATTTTTCTTCTCATCAGCATAATAGATAGGTACATCCTGCTGTTACATATCACTATCTTATCGCTGCATAAGACAGTTTACCTTTGCAGTCTATGGGATCTTCCCTGCTGCCATCCACAAAAAATTTCACAGTAGGAAACTCTTGAATATTAAACTCTTTTCTCAAATCAGGTTGGTATGTGACATCAATTTTACCAAATTGGATTCTTGGAGCTTCTGTTTTAAGCTGTTGCGCAGCCTCAGCAAATTCTTCAGACAAATTCTGAGATGATTGAAATAAAGAAACATCTGGAAAGGGTCAACCAAAAGCAAATGGGTTACACAGGCCACAGCATGAAGCTTCCTAGTAGAGATTTTTCTGTCATATTGTAGCTCGAATAAGCTACAGTAGCTTATTGAATAAGGGGTTGAATAAGGTTTTTTATGACTCAAGTAAAGGAAAAGTTATCTTTAGTTTTTACTTCTTTGTATTGATGGTGATTTTTCGCCACTCTACATGTCCTTGGACAAGTCATAGTGACCAGCAAGTAAGATGTCAGTACTCTTCTGTTGGGAAGAAATGATGTGGAATTAGAAAGTAGTTTGACTGATTATACTGGGTATGAATCAAAGGGAGGTCAAGAACAGAGTTAGTTATTGCTCACATTAGGACTCTGATTAGATACCATTTTTGTAAGCACTTCAATGAGGCAAACCTTTGTGATGCAGAAACTACTTTTCCAGATAAGAGATGGCAGTGGGAGAAGGAGAACAACAGAGTATGGTCTTTTAGAGACTGGAGAAGTATTTCTGCATGTTGTGCTGTGTGCCAGCCCTCCTGTAGCTCAAACCATAGAATGCAGTTGTGTGTTTAGAGGAAGGAGAAGGGTCATCCTAGTCGTAGCCCTTGGGCTGTAAGTTCTATTAATGTGAAAAAAGGATAAGAGAAAGAAACTAGTCACACATCAGCTGCTCTGCATTCAAATCAAGTAAGAGGCAGAGGTCTGGAGGTTTACAGTTTTGCAACTTGGTTTGCAAAGAAAATGGATTCGGCTTTCTTTTGATTAAAATTGAGGTAGCCTAACTTGTTGAATTTGTTTTGTTATAAAGAGCAAAACCTTTTTCGTTAGATTCTGCATGGAAGATTATGTGTCATCAATATACTTTTCAAATAGGAACAGGTGAAAAACATCCAATTAATGTTAGTTTCATACATTTATGTGTGTTCCTGTGTGTGTATATACACACATTTAGATACATACTTAGACAAGCACACACACTGCGTTTTGACAACTATGTGTCAAAGCATAAATCTAACAGAATAACTCTCTTTTGTTCTTTCACAAAATTACAAATGCATTTCTGTACAGCCTACTTGGTGAAGATATTGCCCAGCATAATTATAACGAAAAAGCAAATGAACAGTTCTGTATGAGTTCTAATAAATGAAAGATAAAGCCACTAATCTAACTCAGTGCTGAGTTACATTTCTTGCATTATTCATCATTATCCTTGCTCTGAATTCCAGCCATCAATCATCTTTTTCCACCTAACTGCTGCAACAAGGAGTGGGAAGAGTAGCATTAAATAATGTTATTTTCTCCAAATGCTGATGTGATAGGCCCTAACAATTCTGTCACATATAAACCCATCTTGACTTAGGCTCACAGAACCCCCAGCACTGGAACAGCTGCTCCAGCTGTTAATGTGCCAAAAGGGGTTCCTGTTGGTAGAACAAAACTTAGTGTCTGTTCAGGATGCACTCAGATACCATAGTGGTGAATAGAAGGTGCTTCTCTAAAAAAGTAAATGATCCTTAAGGCATCAGTCCAAAGCAAATTCTGGTTTTAGGATCCAATTACAAACAGATACTTTAAGAATGATCTGTTATCACTGAATGACCTGAATAAGCAGAGTTGCAGGTAACTAATTGGTAATGTAACTAGCATGCTTAGGTAATGAGAGTTGGTAAAGGTAGTAGCTCCTGGCTGGAGCTAGGGAAAGTGCATGACTCTATCCCATAAAAAGTGCTCATTGCACCCAGAGACCAGGAGAAATCAGACTATCATTAATCTGGCAACTCTGAGACTGAAGTTCAGTGAGTGAACAGCCTTACTCATCAGACAGATAAAAACTCTTTCCTTGACTACCTAAAAAGCATGTGGAAACATCCATCACACACCTTTCCTGAGTGATTAGGCTCCTCTTCAGCTTTCCATCAGTTCCTTTTCATTCAACTCATTCTCTGTTTGCCTCCCAGGTGCTTTATTTTTCAAGTCACTTGAATGTCACAGGAAATCATCACTCCTTTTATTTGCAGCCTTTTTTTGAGTTTTGTGTCGTTTCCTCTGGTTTAGATTTTTATTGACACCGATCGCTTCAGGCACTGGGGTGAGAAAGCACCTGCTGAGGCTAACGCAGCATCACAGAGCTCGACTCAAGGAGAGCTGAGCACCAGCAGAATACAAGGGCAGACACAGATGAGAGGTAACAGAGGTGGTGGCAAGGTCACGAGGGAAGATGTGCATGGGTGGTGGGCCATGGGTTTGCTGAAATTTTAAATCTGTTTTCCTAGATAGTGTTTTTGACCTCTCTTTTGAAAGTATCACTGGATGCTCTCCCACCTTGTGTCACTGCTGTTTTGTGAGGTGTCCTTTTCAAAACAGATGCAAATCTCCAAAAGACTTCTTTAACAGATTTCTGCCATTTGATCATTGGTACAGAAGGTCCTGAAAATAAATTGTCCACTGTCTGAGAACAGCTCAAGCTCTTTGGCTCAGATATGGGAAGAATTAAAAGGAACCACAGAACTAGGAGAGTTTAAAGCACCTGTGGGTGTCCTCTTGAATTTCTACTCTTTCTTTTCTTTTTGATAACAATTGAGCTGCAACCAGTCACCTTTTTGAATCATTTGCACGAGGGAGACTGTAGCACCATTTCTGCAGCCACTTTGCTCTGACAGTATTGGCATATTGTCTTCGTGAGGAGAAGGCCCCACACTGAAGAACATCATGTTTTCAGCACCTTCCCTGACAAGTAGTTTTCCTCATTTTAGGAACTGTTTTAAGAACGCTTCCCTCTAAAGGTCATACTGAGCAAATCTTATACACACCCTAATTCCACGAAGAAAGTGTGTTGGGTATGGGATTGCCATATTTTCCGTTTCATGAACTGTAATAAAGGATATTTTGTTGGTTTTGTTTTCCATGGTCAACCAGCAAACCAGGTTAAAATGAAATCCTGTGTACATTGAAAGTGAAGCCTGACAAACTGAAAGGGAATCAGATTGTCAAAAATGCTGATTTTTACAGCTCAAGCTGCTAACAGTCTTGTTCTAGGCAATATAAAACGTTTTGTGAGAAACCAGTCCCACTTCTCTGAAGAATTTACAGCGTGACTGAATAAGGATCGAGAATAAGGTGGGTATCGTTACATGTCATCTCTATTTTAGACAGTCAGAGTACATTTTGCCTGAAGCCACGTCAAATGGATATGACAAAAGTGGGAAGAGAACCAGAAATCTTGTGTTTGGAGAGACTCTTTGTCTTGAGCACATCAATAACCTGAGTAAGTTGATTCTTCTTTTTTCAGTGCAGCTTACTGAAGTAAAATACATTGAAATGTGGACAGAGAAAATTTTTGCTGAAACATAAACTTACTTATGTGTTTAAAGCATTCTTGAAGTGAGCATACATGAAAGCATGGTAAGTTCCTCCTTTAGCTAATTGCTAGTGGCCTCAAATTTCTTTCTGCTGTCTATTTTGATGGTCTAGTGATTGCTGCAGTCATTGTGAATATGCCTGTTGTCATGCGAAATACTTATTTCCTCACTATTAGTTTCTGCTATGGTCTGAAAGTAATTTTAGCAGTCCCACTTTTCATCTTGTGTGTAGGCTGCTTTTACAGTTTTACTAGAGATCTATAATTTTCCCTGTAGCAGACTCCTGAGATGAAGAACAGATTCAAGTTTAACATACCAGAGTTGGAGAGATGTTAATCTTGTTGCAGTTGCAAACTTTCTTGTGTAACCTTGAATTCTCCCATTCTCTCCCGTGCTGACGTCTGTACTTTCAAACTGATGTTTGCAGTTCACTTGAGATCCTCTGCTATGCAAACACCAAGGATTATTCTACAGTTTGGATCCTTGAGAATTATTCTACAGTTTGGATCCTTACTCAAAGCATTCAATGAAATAAGCACGTGTAAGAGAGATCTACATAAGGGACCCATGTTAATCAGTAAGTCTGTGCAACAGGCAACTAGAACATCATCTAGTGACTCTTGTGCCTGTCTGTACATGCATTTCCACTGCCCTGCTCATTTTTACACACATACTTAGCAAACAATTTAAGTGACTCTTTTCAGAGGATTTATTCCTACAAGACTGACACAGCTTCCTGAGAAAGCCTACAGGAATGTGGCACCCACGTTACGCTGGTTTTCACACTGCACTAGGTTCCTACAGTAAGCTTAGTTGTAAGAAATACCTGTTCTGGGTGGTTTTGAACTGTTTGCATTCATCTCCTGTGGTGAGGAGACTGCTGTATGCTGAAATCAGCTCTTAGCACAGGAGTGAGTATGCTTTGGATGTTGGCTTTGTAAGTGAGCTGATCATCTGATCTATAGAATTGGTTTAAGACCAGTCATGTCCCTCACTCTGCTTTCTAGAATCCCTCCATATCTATACATAGGGAGCAATTTATTGCTGGTAGGTTGTTGGGTTTTTTTCTCGCAATAACATCACCTTCAGCTTTTGTCCCTTGAAAAGGAGATGAATGTCTTTAACCCTTATCTTACCGCTTAAATGTCATTGGCACAGATTGTTAGTCACGGGCTGCAGGAATCCTATGGCTGACCCAGTGCCTCACTAGGTTTGTAAATGTTTTGCTAGAAAAGGTAAACACTACTTTTCCATAAATGAGAGTGCACTTAGCACACGGAACAAGAGCACGAGGTTTGCATGGCTTGTGTGTTTGTTCCTAGGTTATCCCTATGTTTATCTAGGAACTGTAAACTTCACTGGAAAGGACAGGAGCAGGCATTCTCAGAGATCTGGGGAGTCAAACATTTGCTGAGGTCTAGGCCTTTTCCTGAATTATTCTGCTAGGCAGGAGAAAGTGGCATTAGCATGTGCTCTGCACCCATTTTGTGTTTCCCAAAATACGCTATTAGCCAAGTTAAAAGCTTATATAACTTGAGCTGTAAGGGACTCAGAGAGATTGTTTGTCTGGCCTAAGGCAAGAAATGTTACCTAAACCAATCTTGACAGCTATTTGACTAATCTGGCTTTAAATATTGCCATGAATGGAGATACCAGAGCCAGCCTAGACATCATTAACCTTCCCAGTAAATGGTAATCTTTATCTATGCCTATGATGTCTGTAGTGTTAAAGCCATTAGATTGCCAGTGAAAATGAGTAACAGTTCTATGCAGAAATAGTGCATTTGGTTACATTTAACATGTGTCCTCTCAGTCACAGTATGGTCTGTTGCTGATGTGGGCTGATGCACTGTATTTTACCTCTGGGCTGGAGCATACTGTGGGCTATTTCTGCCTCTCTGGCCTGGGAAAACCTTAAACGTGAATGGTATTCACTGTACTGTTTGGGAGATCTGAGGACTATTGGAGAATTATGGGACAGTTGCAAAGTCCTGTGAAAACCTTTCTGACAACAGAAAATTGGAAGGGTTTACAAAAGGCTTTTGAAGAGAAATGAAACAGATGTGCTTCACTGTGTTCTGATAGTTGCTTCCCCTGGGAAAACCAGAGTAATTCATGACTTCAGCTGGTTACAGTTTGCAGTGGTGTACAGCAGTGCTTTTAGTGTTTGTGGGTTTAAGTGTACAAAGATTATTTTCCCCATGACGAAGACATTTATGAAGTGCTCGGGATTTTAGAGTTTGTTGGGTTTTTTGAAAGCAACAATATTTTGCAATGAAAGTTAACATAGGGACTTAAATTCAGCTAATGTATAGTGTAAAGCATAAAACTCCCCCATGCAGGCAACACTGATGTAAGATCTCTCCTCTGCTGGTGGAAAGTGCTCTATATTCCCTGTGCTAGTAGGCATTTGTGTGATATTTAGATCAGTTTAACATGGATAGGGAGATGCCACAAACTGCAGCAGAGGACAATTTCCAGTTGAACGTTTAGATTAGGTCCTCCTAGAACATGCAGGACATGTAACTCAGCTGGGCAGGCAGCAGTGCTTGCGTCCATATAGGAGGGTAGACACATTGCTATGTGCTGCTTGCACTGGTTTCACACATTGTTCCCTGGGCCTTCCCAAAAACCAAAGAGAAGCTGGATCCTCTTTTTCCTCACCCTCTTTATGCTGCCCCTTCAGCTACTCTTATTGCACAATGCAGTTGGGATGAGGGCAGAAGAGTGCAGATTTCTGGGTCACTACTTTGTTTCCATGCTGGGTACCTGCCCGGTGTACTTTGCTCAGACTCTAGGGGTTAGCCTCATACTGCTTGGCAGAAAGTTAGCGTACATTTTTGTAGTAAACCTTGCCTGAAAGAAGGCGGATCTGGGACGCTGTGAGGTTGGAACTGAAGGACATTAGGAGGACTTGTGAGTTACCGGGCGGAAGACATCAAAGCAGGCCTCTCCTGATAAATATTGTGGGATTGGTAAGTACGTAATAGTATGCAAAAGGGAAAGTGTTGGAGTGTTAGCCTTAAGCCTATCTATTATGAGATAAGAGTGCTGAATCAAAGTTTGGAGCTCAAACTTTTTCCCATGCTGGTACAGCACCGTTAACACATCCCACCTTCTGGTAACTCTCTGCAGTTTATATACTGGGCATGACGTGCTGTGGTATGGAATACCCCTTTGGCTAGTTTGGGTCAGGTGTCCTGTCTCTGCTTCCTCCCAGCTTCTTGTGCCCCTCCTCACTGGCAGAGCATGGGAGACTGAAAAGTCTTTGAGCAGAGTAAACATTACTGAGCAACAACTAAAACCTCAGTGTGTTATCAGCATTGTTTTCAGACTAAAGTTGAAAACATACAATGTCAAAGACCACGCCCCCCCCCAGCCAGTAAGAAAGAGAAAAATAACTGTTACAGCTGAACCCAGGACACTTGTGCAGATTGAAGTGTTTCTGCTACCAGACTGCCGGGAAATACAGCTCCATGTTTATGAAGACGGAAATTACGCAGTGTCTGAGCTTTTAGATGGGTAACAATACGAGAATATACCTTTTGGCTTTTGCTTTTGTGATACACTTAATGTAAGGCTCAGATCTTCTAACAAAGTTAGTTACTTCAAAGTACCCACTATGAGGAAAGAACCTAATAGAAAAACCAAAAACTGGCCTCCACCTAATCAAGTGCTAATTTCAGGGAAAG